CTTGGTCTGTCTCTCAATCCTTTGAAGATACCTAAATAAAATTCTTTTGAATTCCTTATCAGGGAGTTCCAATGCTGCGTCTTCCTCATGGATGTATTTTGGGTCTACATCCTGGTCCCTTGTTTCTCCTGATTTACCTTGCTTGTTTGTGTGGACTGTGATGCTCTGTTGCCTCCGAGGCATTGTGACATTTTTGTGTTTATATTTAATTGGTGATTATATGTTGGAGTGACTTGCCCACAATTTTTGTTTTCTTTGTGTATTATCTATACAGGTAGGGTACTGTGCTGTGCTCCTCTATTCACTAGTTGACAGCACTTATACACTCACCACCTGTTTCCTCTCCTTTTGTCAGCCTTTCATATGTCCTTGCTGACCCTGGCAAACAGAGCCTGTTCTTAGATCCCTGGAATCCAAATGAGAATGCTATCACTTTAAAATCCAAAATGGTTGCCACTTGTAAACATTCAAAATGGCTGTGCCCTTGGTCACTTTAAATATCCAAAATGGTTACTGCTGGTAAACATTCAAAGTACCTGCACCCTTGGTCACTTTAAATATCCAAAATGGCTGCCACGTGTAAAGAATCAAAATGGCTGCACCCTCCGTACACCAGAAAGTCCACTGCTCAGGTTGTCTCCCTCCTTGCTGTTTCCCTTCCTAACCATAGGCTACCAGAGCAGTTGTCCCTGCAACCCTTAGTGACTGGGACTGATCTTTAGGTCAGTTCTCAGGTCCCAACACCACTTGGAAATATTCAGGCTGTTGGTCCTGTCAGAGTAGCTGACAGTCCGTAGCTCTGACCATCTCTGTACTCACTGTTTTTGTTCAGGTTTTTCTACTAGTTGGTGCCTAATCCACTTCTGTATAGTTCCTTTCAAAGCTCAGGGTTCCAGGCTTATCTTCTGTATCTCTGTCAATTGGTTTTTCTTTTCTTTGTTGAATAGGGTCTGTGTCACTTGTCTGCCTATTCCTCCATCTTACCAAAAGTCCCTCATTTCACATACTTTTCTGTGCTGAGCTCGTTTTGTTTATGAATTGTGTTATCACTTCCTTCATTGCTATTGTTTTAGTATTTGCTAAATATTTGTACTGGTCCTCTTTTTTTATTTTGATGTAAAGATTTATCATTTTTCTTTCAGGGTACCCTGTGATTTTATAATTTTCTTCCCAAGTTTAGAACAGTCCATTCTATCTGTGGTTGTCTTGACTTCCCTACCACTTAGAAGTTCTGCAAGAACACAGTTTTTTCCCTCTTTTTAGTTTGTAGTTGTCCTCATTTGTCAATTGATGTCTCTGGCTCCCTGTTTACAACTTGTAGGCTTATTTACTTTGAATACTTCTATAACTGGGTTGGTTTCTGGGTTATGTCATCATGTGTGTTAATGGTCAGTTGTTTGTTCTTGTTGGTTCTCTGTCCAAAGGGCTCCCTTTACATCTCTTGTAAGGTTCGTCTGGTTTTAACAAATTCACTTGATTTCTGCTTATCTAGAAATGTCCTAATTTCACTATCATATTTAAGGGACAGTTTTGCAGGGTATATAATTCTTGGTTAGAAATTTTTCTCTTTCAGGGTTTTATATGTACCATCCCATTGTCTTCTTGCCTGCCTGGTTTCTGCCAAGAAATCAGAGCTTACTCTTACTGGTTGCCCCTTGTAGGTAACTTTTAGTTTTTCCTGTGCTGCTTTTAGGATTCTTTCTTTGTCTTTGGTTTTGGTGAGTTTCACGATGATATGTCTTGGTGATTTACTTTTCAAGTGTATCCTGTTTGGGGTTCATTGGACTTCTTGAATGGATATATTCTGATCTTTCATCATACCAGGAAAATTCTCTTCCAACCAATCTTTGACAATTTTTTCTGTGGTTTTATTTGTCTCTTCCTGTTCTGGAATTCCTATCACAAGTAGATTATTCTTTTTGATGGTATCCCACATGAACCTTAGGCTTTCTTCATTTTGTTTTGATCTTTTTTCTGATTATTCCCTTTCCAAAGAAGTATTGAGGTATTTGCCTTCAATCTCACTAATTTTTGTCTTCCATTGATTTGATTCTACTCCTTTGTCTGTTCAATGTGTTATCTATTTTTGAAAATTTAGTATTAATCTTCTGGATTTCTGTCTGTAGATTTTTTTTATCGTTTCTAATTTTTCATTTATTTTGTCATTTTGTTCTTGTATTGTCTTTCAAAATTATCCTAGGGTTTTCTCTGTTTTCCTCAATTTTGTTAGTGTTTTCCTTGATCTGTCTTTCAATTCATTGAAGGTACCTAAACATAATTCTTTTGAATTCCTTATCAGGGAGTTGCAATGCTATATCTTCCTCAGGGATGTGTTTTGGGTCTGTATCCAGGTCCCTTGTTTCTCCTGCTTTATCTTGCTTCTTTGTGTGGATTGTGATGCTCTGTTATCTCTGAGGCATGGTGATGTTCTTGTGTTTATATTTAATTGATGATTGTATGTTGGAGTGACTTGCCCATGATTTTCATTTTCTTTGTTTTGTTTATGTTATCTACGTAAGCAGGGTACTATGCTGTGTCCTCTATTTGCTAGTTGGCAGCACTTGTACATTCACCACCTGTTTCCTTCCCGTTGTCTGCCTACCATATGTCCCTGCTGTCCTTGGCAAACCGAGCCTATTCTTAGGTCCCTGGAATCTGAATGAGAATGCTGTTACCTTAAAATCCAAAATGGCCACGACTTGTAAACATGCAAAATGACTGCACCCTCAGTCACTTTAAATATCTAAAATGGCTGCCGCTTGTAAACCTTCCAAATCGCTGCATCCTTGGTCACTTTAAGTATCCAAAATGGCCACCACGTGTAAACAATCAAAATGGCTGTACCGTCCAGACAGCAGAAAGTCCACAACTCAATTTGTCTCCCTCCTTGCTGTTTCCCTTTCTAGTCATAGGCCACCAGCGCAGTCATCCCCTCAGCCCTTGGCAACCAGGGCTGATCTTTAGGTCAATTTTCAGGTCCCAATACCACTTGGAAATATTCAGGCTGTTGGTCCCATCAGAGTAGCTGACAGTCCACTGCTCCGACCATCTCCTCACTTAATGTTTTTGTTCAGGTTTTTCCACTAATTGATGCCTAATTCACTTCTGTATACTTCCTTTCAAAGCTCAGGGCTCCAGGATTATCTTCTGTATCTCTGTCATTTGGTTTCTCTTTTCTTTGTTGAGGAGGGTCTGTGGAGCTTGTCTGCCTATTCCTCTATTACCAGAAGTCTACAATTATGTTTGTAGCAGCATTATTTATCATAATAAAAAGCTGGAAACAACACATAATTCCACCAACAGGAGTAGATAAATTATAATATCTAATTCTATAATAAAACACTATATAGCAAAGAAAATGAACAAACAGCAGCAACAGGCAATAACATGGATAAATCATGCAGATAATGTTGAGCAAAAGAAGTCAGACACAATGTAATACATAACAAATAATACTACATTTATGTAAAGTTCAAAAACAATCACAATTTATAATGTTAGAAGTCAGAACGAGATGGTTAGTTATCTTAGTGGAGGAGAAAGGGAGTAGTTTTTGCGACTGCCATAAAGAAGTAGGCTAGCTTTAAATAATTATAAAGCCAGGATATGTCAGTTCTACTTGTAATACCCTAGAAGAATATATCCATCTTTGTTCTCAATAACTTTTATTAAGCACAGGAAATATAGAAGTCCCTGGGTGGTGCAGATGACTCAACTACAAACCAATTGGTGGTTTGATCCCACTGAGAAGCACCTTGAAAAAAAGACCTGGTAATCAACTTCTGAAAGGTCACGGCCATGAAAACTCTATGGAGTGCAGTTCTACTCTGCAACACATGGGGTCACCATGAGTCAGAATGGACTCAACGACAGCTGGTAACACTTACATATTAATTAAATTAGTAAATAAACACACACACATACATACATAAAGAAGAGAAAATTAAAATAATGAGATGAAATAAAAGATTGATAGTTACCTCAGTTAATTTGTTTTAATGTAGTGTTATTCTGGCTATACATCAGAAGCATCTGGGGACTTTAAAAAGCAAACAAAAACTGATCCCAGACCCATTCTCCAGAGGATGAGGCATAGGCATTGATACTGCTAGAGTTGAGACTAACATTGCTTTAATGGAAAAAAAGATAAATATAACATCAATCTCTAAAAATGAACAATCTATTTGATAATTACACTTTTCGTTGTGCTGATATAATTGAGCTGTTGTATGTATACTGGTAGTATCTTTGCCCTCTTATCATTAGAGTGATAATAGTAATCATTTCTAGGATATTAGATACTATCTTTGTGAAATTGTCTTAAAGTATTTTATTTAGATGTAGCAATACCCACCAAAGAGTAGCATTTTGACATTTGGCATTTTTCTTTCTAATGAATTAGGTTTTAAAATAAATCACTTTAATTAGCCAGAAAATGCCTTTGCTTTCACTCTCTCCCTTCATTGAATTATTCAATTCTAGGATACCTGTTTATCAGTACTCTCTTTAGTGTTCTCTATTACTTCTTTTTTTTACCAGGAACTTACACACTATTCCTTCTGAGACCTCAGTTTGTGTTTGTTTTAGAAAGGCAGAAAGAAATACTGTGAGATGTTGAAATAACTTAAACCTTACTAAGGCATGAACCTTAGAGTACTTGTATGCAAAAATGTTTGTACTTGTTAAAATTTATTCATTTTCGTCATTTGACTTTTTTTTATATCTTTTTAAATTTTTATTGTGATTTGGGTAAAAGTTGACAGCAAATTCGTTTTCCATATGGCAATTCATACACATTTTGTTTCATATTTTGCCATCTTAATCATGATGTGGTTTAATATATTGTACCTGTTACTTTTGAATAACATGTTATAATTTTCAGCTTTTATAGAAATCATTTTTAAAATACTTTTGAGGTAACTCAGTCTTATAACAGGTTTTCCTTTACAGGATATGTATTTTAGACAATATTACAGCATCAATATTTGAAGTGGTTAAGAATGTCTCTGCTAAGTCGACAAATGGCTATTGTTAACCCCCCTCCACCAGAGTATATAAATGCTAAGAAAAATGGACGATTGACAAATCAACTGCAGTATCTACAAAAAGTTGTCCTAAAGGCTCTGTGGAAGCATAGCTTTTCTTGGCCTTTTCAGCAACCTGTGGATGCTGTGAAACTAAAGTTGCCTGTAAGTGTGTCTTATAATTATGTTTAAAAAAAGAAAAGCACTGTAAATCTCTAAAAGAAATAAATTACTCTTTATATGTTTAATTTAATAAATGTGATTTATTCAGCACTATCAAAATGAGTATTTTTTCCTAATTAACAGCAAAGTTTATTTTTCTGAGCATTGAAGTTCTTACTTTAATAGTTGTGATAATTGTAGACCTGTATTTTTACGCAAATAATGCCTGTGCTCTACAAAAAAATTGGCATAGCACACTTACCAAAATACCTCACAAGGGGAGGGTGCAGATGGCATGTAAATGTGGAACACATGCGTTAGTTGCATAAAAATATGGTTTCTTGTTATAGCATATGTCACTTGACCTTTTGATTCAGGGTAATCATCATGAAAGCCGTTGTGACTATTGAGCTATTAGACTGTTTATCTTCATGGTATTTTATCGTAGATAACTCATCTATCTACATCTGTTCTGTAATTGTCATTTCTAACTAGTGACACTATTTCTACTTTTAGTCAACCTTCTCCAAATTGCACTTTCCTTCTTCTGCATGCTACCACTTCTAAACTTGTATCATCATAACCTAGGGTAACCAGAAGACTGTCAGGAAAACTGACTGGTAACTTAATTTTTATCTGTTGAATTAGTAGTTGACATCACTAAAGCATTATTTACAGCTTTAGAGTAAGATCCAGAGGTTTGTGGGCTTTACTGTCTTGGGGTAAATATAAATAACCTGGCATTTCTGAAACAGAAAATAAGCTTGCCATATAATTATATGGCTCCATAAGAATAGCTAACATATTTTGAGCACTGTTTGTTTAATCCTTACTATGATCCCATGATGTGGGTAGTGTTATTCCTCCCCATTTTGTAGTTGGGAAGGCCAAGACAAGTTAAGTAACCTGCCCAAAGTCATCTTATCTTGCAGGTAGCGGAGCTCAGATTCACTCTTTGTACTTATTAACGTTTAGGAGGCCATGTCTCAACAGATTAAAGAGAAGGTATCCATACTAACTTTTAATGAAAGTAGACAAAATTACTCACAATTATACAAATTAACCTTGAGTCTTTAAAAAAAAAAAATCACTGCTGTGGAGTCGAATGTGACTCACAGCAACTCCTCCTTGGGTTTCTGAGGTGGTATCTCTTCGGAAGTAGATTGCCCAATCTTCCTTCTGAGTGGCTAATGGGTTTGAACCACCAGCCTTCTGGTTAGCAGTCAAATGCCTTAGGCACTATGCCACCAGAGCTCCTTTGGATCTCTTAAAATTCAAAGTGGCCAATATAACTAATTTTTTTAAAAGATATTTGAATGTTTACTATTTGCCAGGCTTTTCTACTCCACCATTCTATTAAGTTGTTGTTGTTGTTGTTATGTGTTGTCAAGTCGGACCCAACTCAAAAGTTACTACCTCTAAATTACCCAAACCAAATAAATGCTGACACCTAAAGTTAATATAAGTTCTCCTTCTCCTATGCATTTTCACCACACTTTTTATATGGATCTCTGGTTTAGCAATTAATTTACAATATTATGGTCACTGATTTAGGAACTCCTCAAAGCCAGTAAGCTAAGGAAACAAACTATCTTCACCCTTGTGGTCCTTGTTTAAATACTTTATCCTTTCTTCACAGCGTAGAGATACAAGTCCAAACTCTAAAACATGACAAAAGGGCCTTCACAACTGAAATAGTTCCATAGGTCTGTGTTTGAAGCATAATGAGCATTTACTGCTCTCTAAACAGGTCATCATTTTTTTCCATTTTTTTCTTCTGCCCACAGCATTCCGTCTCATCACCTGTATTCAGCCTGATGGACATCTACTTAACCAGATGATGATCTGGCTCAAATGTCACCTTCTCCATCAAGTCTTTCCTGCCACTTACAGGCAGATGTAATTGCCTTATAAACCAGAATTCAACATTAGGTCTTATGTCAGGAAAATTTAACCTAATAATAACTTGATAATACCAATTCTTCCACAGAACGATTAAATAATTTATAATGTATCTAGTAAACTGTGGAGCTGGGATTGGATTTTGGATCTGTCAGATGGACTCCATAAATACTAGTTGTTTTTTTTTCTCATACCCTTCATTTTTTATTTTCCAGGATAACATTACTCTTAATTCTTATATTTATTATTATTTATTTACCAGCTATTTTGTTTTTTGCCTCTGAAAAGTAATCCCATGGCAATCAGCTTTGTTTCTCCTTACTAAAGATTTTGTTTTCCAGAATATGGCTTTTTAAATGTAATAAATTGCTTTTTGGAGTTACAAGTGTATATGTAGGTTCTTAAATTTCTTTGTGCACCAATAGTTATAGCAAATTCATTTTTATTACTAACAGAATTTCTTCTTCAAAACCATAGGATTATTATACCATTATAAAAAACCCAATGGACTTAAATACAATTAAGAAGCGCTTGGAGCATAACTATTATGTGAAGGCTTCAGAATGCATAGAAGACTTCAGTACAATGTTCTCAAATTGTTATTTATACAACAAGGTATATGAACTAATTTTCTGCTATTATCTACAGGAAATATGTATAAACAAGTATGTTGATTTCAGATTTTAAGTCTTGATTTGGGCTATTTTACATATTTTTAAGGAGAATATCTTTTTCATTGGATTTTGTTATTTTCACGTATTAAAATTTACTCAATCTGTAAACTGTCATCCAAATCACAATAAAAGTTTTTTTTTTTTTTAAATTTACTTTGTCTATTTGCTATGATATTTCTGTCTGAATAGCTATAGAGGTTTATGATTAAAAGATGAAATCTCAAGGTAGCTGGTTTCTGTGAGTAAAGTTTTACTTTAAAATATTCTCTACCATACTTCTGACATTTTAGTTATATGGTAAATGAAAAATCTTCCTAATCTTAGTTAAAATTTCACAGTGTGGATCCCTGACCATAACTAAGAAATCAAACAAATTGAGTTCTACTTTGACACGTGGTAGTTTTTTGGTGGTTTTTTTCTTTTTTTAAATACTTTACAAGATGATTTAAAGATCACACATTCTTTGTTGTATCCTGGTGATAGTACCTGCATCGATATTAATCCATTACACTGTATAATATTTGAGGACATTCTGAACTTGTTCTTCACATTGGCTCTCATCCCATAGAATTATATTTCTATCTTTTTTTTCTCTCCCCATATTGTATTCCTATTTCCCAGAGTACTGTATCCTTTTCAAGTTGTTCTATGGTATCTAAAAATTTTAAAGATTATATCCTATTGGAAGAATTACACTATTATCATCCATTAAATATGAGAAATCAAAGCATTCCTCATGTGGTTTATTTAGAAATCACTAATGGCACAAGGGATTCTTACTGAAATGTAGTAGAAAGTCTGGTTTTGTTCCCACTGCCACCCTACATGTATAAAAGATTTAAGATGTTAGCCAATGTGAATTTTTAAAAAAACAGAAGAAATGTAATCTCAAAGTACCATTGGCAACTTCATTTTAATTTAACAACTCCAAAGAATCCGCTGGTAGCATAGTGGCTAAGACACTTGCCTGCTAACCAAACTGCTGGCAGTTCAAACCCACCAGCCACTCCTCGGAAGGAAGGTTGGGCAATCCTACTTCTGTAGTGATACTGCCTCGGAAACCCAAGGAGGGGTCGCTATGAGTCGGGTTTGACTCGATGGCACATAACAACAACAAAGAGTCCTTTTATATTTAACATTCTAAAATGAAGTTGAGTAATTTTCCTCAACAAGCTAGTCTAGAAATATGTTTGCTCTTTCAGGCTGTTACTTTGTACAACTTACTTAGTTTTTAATGAGTGGTAAAGTAAAGTAAGAGGAAGACTTCTAAAGAGAATTGAAAACGGAATCACATCAAGCTGAACCACAAGGTATTTTCATGGCAATGAAAAAGTTTTGTTTTAAACTATTGGTGAGGTAGAAATTCTAATACTCTTTCTTAATTAGTAGGATTGGTTGAATTATAATCCAGTGCTCAGATAGGCCTACTAGATCCTTTATAGAAGTTGAAGAGGTAGAACACTAGAATTTAAAATGTGGGTTTGCTTCACTGTTTTCTAGACTTAAATTTGATGAAATTCCATGTCACTCCTGTTAGGCAGCCTGAATTACAGAAATTTGATACAGTGACCGTACTGTATAACTTTATAGTATATTTGATGTATTTTTCCAGCCTGGAGATGACATTGTTTTAATGGCACAAGCTCTAGAGAAGTTGTTTGTACAGAAATTATCTCAGATGCCTCAGGAAGAACAAGTTGTGAGTGGTAAGGAGAGAATGAGGAAAGGTAAGCCAGACTGTCAATTGTTTATATTCACTATATGTGGGTGGGTGGGTGTTTCTGTTATGCACTCGTGAACTCACTTAAGTATAGATTCTAGCCTTACTACAGCCAGAAGACAGAGCCAATAGGGTTTGCTGGTGGATTGTATGATCGGTTTGAGACATAGTGGAGTCAAAGATGACTCTGAGGTCTTTGGCCTGAACAATTAGAAGAATGGAATGCCTTAATGGAAGGAGGGAATCTCATGAGGACATTTGAAGGAATTGTTTTAAGACTTTTGAAGTAAAGATTTTGGAGTGATGTGATCCAAATGTTTCAAGTTATAGCAGGGCAGAGCATGCATAATTGTTCCTTTAAGAGAATTGTCTGAAGATTTTTTGATGAGAGAATCATGTTCACATCTGTTGTTCTGTATCAGCCAGTGATGGATGGACTGTAACAAGTCTGAAGTGCGTGGATATTTATGCAGAGCATTCAGAAGACCTCACATAGTACTATATAGTTTTTGGGGTCCACAGGTACCTGATGCTACCCACAGAACTTTGTATGAATTTAATCCAGGCATCGTTTTGAATGAAATTGATGAGTCTACCATTAATAACAGAGATTTTGGAATCTCCAATACTATATGTAAATTGGTCCAACAATGTCAGTAACAGTGTGGGGATTGTCAAAGAAGAGTGTCATGTGTTTACATTACTAAAAAAAGGGGAACTAAATAAATTAGAATAAGAGATAAAGTGATATTAGTTTTGTATTTTACTCATGGAAATATTTGACCTGCTTCACACTTTATCAGGTGCACAACAGAAAATAGTAGTTTCTTCTGTCAAAGAAAAAACATCCCCCCAAGCACCAGAAAAAGTATTTAAGCAGCAAATGATACCCTGTGCATTTCCTGAGCCATCTACACCCTTAAATATGATACAAGAAGCTCCACTCAGCTCTGTCTCACAGACGATGGCCCAAGTAAGTTTATTGTGGTTTTAAAATCACTGGTTCCTAAAATATTTCAATAGAAGTTTGGATGTTGTGATATCTATAACTCTTTTTAAGGTGATAAGAAAATTGGTCTTTAGCATACAGCAATATTTTTATCATTATAATTTCTACATGTCAGAATATATCTATATATTTTGTAAACAGTGACATAGGATACTAACTAAATTTTACAGATTTCTTTGGGAGAATTTGAACTGTTTTAATATCTTTGTAGTACTAATATCAGAAATTGTCAAACTCCATAGCTTCTTGTTAAAATTCTATGCTCTACCCTCTGCAGATGAATGAATAAACAAAATGTAGTACATGCGTACAATGCAGTACTGTGCAATGACAAAGAATAATTGTTGTTGTTGTTGTTGTTGTTAGGTGCCATGGGGTCGGATCTGACTCATAGCAACCCCTCCTTCGTTTCCAAGGCAATATACGGAAGTAGATTGCCCAACCTTCTTCCAAGGAGTGGTTGGTGGGTGTGAACTGCCAGCCTTCTGATTAGCAGTCAAGTGCCTTGGACACTATGCTACCAGAGCTCCCAAAGAATAATTATGAGTCTGCAAAACATCTTATAATGTGGCTGAATCTGGAGGACATTATACTGAGTGAAATAAGTCCATAATAAAAGGACAATATTGTAAGATACCACTTTTATAAAAAGTGAAGAATAGGTTTATACACAGAAAGTTACATTTTTTGATGATTACCAGGAATAGGAGGGAAGGGTGGGAGAATCACTCACTAGATAGTAGACACATGGTAATTCTGGTGAAGAGAAAGGTAATATACAATTTGGGGGATGTTAGCATAGTGTGACCAAAATGAAGACACTGAGAGGTGTCACAGGAATAAAGGACAACTACAGTAAATGCTATAATATATACAACTCTGTGACAATAATAATAACCAAAAATATGTGAGTGTTAACATAGGTAGATATGTATACTGTACAGGTGAGGGAGGACATATGGGAGTACATGCACATGTATATACAGGTATAGTTGTGAGCATCTGTATATGTGGAAACTTCACATATACAAACACCTCATGGGACTGAGTTACTGGGCTTGAAGGCTAAGGGCTATAGTCTTAGGGAACTTCCAGGTCAATTGGCGTAACATAGTTCATAAAGATAATGTTCTACGTCCTAGTTTGGTGGGTAGCATCTGGGATCTTAAAACTTGTGAGTGCCCATCTAAAATACAACTATTAGTCTCTTTCTGTCTAAAGCAAAGGACAGTGAATGAAACTAAAGATTCAAGGAAGCAATTTTAATCCTCAGGACTAAGAGCCCATATGAACCACAACCTCCTCTAGCCTGAGACCAGAAGAACTAGATGGTGCCCAGCTACAACAACTGATCTGACCAGGGATATAATAGAGGGTCCCAGCCAGAGTGGGAGAAAAATGTAGAACAAAATTCAAATTCATAAAAAAGAGCAGACTTACTAGAGTGATAGAGACTGGAGGAACCCCCGAGACTATCACCCTAAGACGCCCTTTTAACCTGGAACTTAAGCCATTCCTAGAGGTCACCTTTCAGCCAAATAATAGATTGGCCTATAAAATAAACAATAGCATTCGTGAGAAGTGTGCTTCTTAGAACTCTGAACTGTATGAGTCCAAACAGGCAACATTTGTCCGATAGCAAAAATGAAATGGCAAGGAGGAGCAGAGAAACTGAAGGGGTTAAAATGGAAAGAGTGCTGACACGTGGGGATAGCAACCAATGTCATGGAATAATCTGTGTATAAGTTGTTGAATGGGAAATTAATTTGCTTTATAAACTTTCAGATAAAACCAAACCAAACTCACTGCCATCGTGTCAATTCCGACTCATAGTGACCCCCACTGGGCTTTCAAGGTGGTGTATCTTTCCAGAAGTAGATTGCTCCATCTTCCTTCCTCAGAGTGGCTGCTGGGTTTGAACCACTGAGCTGGTTAGCAGCTAAATGCCTTATCCATTACGCCACCAGAGCTCCTTAAAACACAATAAAATGTAAAAAAGAAAAAAAGAATTAAACAGCAGCAGGGGGAAAAAAATAATTTCTATACCCTAGCTAATTAGGTATTCAAAAACTGTTTTTGGTATAATCATGACTTTTTCCCTTATATTTCATTAGTTTCAAGGGCTTATAGAAGACAGTTCTTTGGGATATGGAAAGAAAATACTAGAACTATTTATTTTACCTATCAAAGAGAAATTAGCCCTAGTAGGAATTGACTTCATGGCAGTGAATTTTTTTTTTTTTTTTTTGTAGCATAGTGGTTAAGTGCTCAACTGCTAACTGAATGGTCAGTGGTCCAACCAACCAGCTGCTCTGCAGGAGAAAGTTGTGGCATTCTGCTTCTGTAAAGATATACAGCCTTAGAAACCCTATATAGAGTTTCAACTCTGTCCCAGCGGGTCAACTAGAAGTTGAATTGGACTCAGTGGCAACAAATTTGTTTTTTTGGTTAATATTTAATATACCAATTGACAACAGTATGACTAAGTTATCTATATATAAATTTGTTACACTTTATCCTTTCTTTTTTTTTTTTTAAGCCAATAGGATAATAATATAAAAAAAATTGGAAAATGTTGCTCTGAAAGTCACCTTAAATATGGTTGTCAAATTGTCTTGTTTTAGGGTACAAAGGGTGTGAAGAGGAAAGCAGATACAACAACTCCTACAGCTTCAGTAGTTAAAGCAAGTAGTGAATCTCCACCAACACTTACAGAAAAGAAATCAGTGAAAATGCCACCTATAAAAGAAAATGTGCTAAAGAATGTTTTGCCGGATTCTCAGCAACAATATAACATTGCAAAGAGTGTTAATGTAACCGAACAACTAAAGCACTGTAGTGAGGTTCTGAAAGAAATGCTTGCAAAGAAACACTTATCGTATGCATGGCCCTTTTATAATCCTGTAGATGTTAATACATTGGGACTCCATAACTACTATGATATTATAAAAAATCCAATGGATCTTGGAACTATTAAGGTAAATGTCTTAATAGGAGGAAATTCTTTTATTTATTATAAAAGTAACTTTCTTCTTGTAAAGAAATTTAAAAATCCAGAAGAAGATAATTAAAATCACAACCTAGAGTTATTCTTGATAACATTTTAAAATACATCTTTATTTGCTTCTATTCAAACACATCCATGGTTCTTTGCCACAATATTTAAGTTACAGTGTGTATTATAACTCTCTACTCTGAATTTTTACTTACACTGTATAGTGGACATTTTCCTGCTAAATATTCTTAAAGAATGTTGTAAATAATTGCCTAGTGATAATATAAGGAGCTCTGGTGGCACAGTGCCAAAGACATTTGGCTGCTAACCAGAAGGTCGGTGGTTCAAACCCACCAGTCACTCCACAGAAGGATGATGGGACAATCTACTTCTGTACAGGCACGCCACTTCAGAAATCCAATGTGAGTCACTATGAGTCAGAATCTACTCAGTGAGTTTGGGGTGTTTTTTTTTTTGGAGTGGTAATTTAATTTTTTTTAAAGACATTTATGTAGCTTACAATCCCTTTTCTCCTTTTTAATCTTTTGCTGGATTTATATGTTTTCTGTATTGCTGACTTGGAAACTTTAACTTATTTTAAAAAATATAATATGCATATTATTTTAAGGACAACTACTTAAAGAATAGTATATATATTTTATGTTGTTGTTGTTGTTAAGTGCCGTCGAGTCGTTTCCGACTCATAGCGACCCCATGCACAGCAGAACGAAACACTGCCCGATCCCACGCCAGCCCCACAATCCCTGCTATACTTGAGCCCATCATCGCAGCCACCATATCAATCCATCTCCTTGAAGGCCTCCCCCTCTTTTGTC